GTCTGCAGCCGAATGCACATTTGTTTTTCATTCTGTTATGCATTCACACAGCTACCTATCCATGAATTGCTCCAGTACATTATTCTCAGCTATTTTTAAAGACTCCAGTACAGCATCAAAATTTTCCTGTGGGCGAACAAAAGCCACACAAATTGTAACAAATGTTTTAGCGCCTGAATTAAAAAAAAATAGATGACTTGAGTCCTTGAGTTCCATAGCTACAGATGCGTCCAATAAGGGAAACGTAAAAACTTTTCCGCTTTTGGTACGTTATTTTAAAAAATATTCTGGGGTTTGTACCAAGTTGTTAAAATTTTATTCTGCAAATTCTGAAAAATCTGCAGATATAGCAGCTTTACTTATAACTCATTTAAATGAGGCAGGTTTAAGTATAAACAATGTTATTGCTTATTGTGCTGATAATGCGTCTGTCAATTTCGGCAAAAATCAAAGCGTAATGACGGAGTTGCAAAAGCTAAATAAAAATATTTTGCCTTTTGGTTGCCTATGCCACATAATTCACAATGCTGGGAAAAAAGGTCAAAACGTACTTAGATTTGACGTCGAAACTTTAGTTATAAAAATTTACAAAGAGTTCAGCAGCAGCACAAGGAAAGTTACCGAGCTTAAAGAATTTTTTGTATTTTGCGATCAAAGCTCATTACCTATCGCTCGACTCGCTACCGCCAATGCTCAAAAGTTTTTTTGAACACGAGCTTGCGGAAGCCTATTTGGGATTTGTTTCAAACGTGGGAGCTGTGATGAACAGCACAATTGCAACCCTAGAATCTAAAGTAACTTTGGTTGTGGAGATAAATTCTTTAATGAACACGTTGAAAAAATCTTTAACGATGAAAAAGGAGCAACAATTTTATGGATCCATCGCTCGGACACTTATTTAAAATTGTGATGATCAGAGTATGATTAATCTATTTAAAAAAGAAGCTGATGTATTTCTTGACACAGTTTTGGCATATTTGAATAAGTGGTATGACTTTAAAACCAATAAACTTCAATTTTTAGACTGTATGATTTTAAATCAACAAAACCAACTGCATTTAGAAAAAATTTTCAAAATTATTTCCGAATTCAAAATACAAATTGATAAAGATTTGCTTTTTGAAGAGTTTGTTCAGCTTTCTACGTTTATGGAAACCTCATATTCTTCAGAATTTAAAACATTACCTGCTGATTAAAAATGGGTAAAGTTTTTCCAAAACTTTGTAGCGCCAAACTTTGAGATTTTATGCAACACTATTTTTTCCTTGCCTCATTCAAACGCAATGTCCGAACGAATATTTAGTTTGATGACAATGGCGTTGAGGAAAAAGAGAAACAGGCTTGATATTAAAACTCTTGAGGCCGAACTTATCTCTAAACACAACCTTAAAATCACTTGTTTAGAATTTTTTAAGTTTTTGCAAAACAAAGGAAGGCACATTTTAAAAAAAGTCGGATCGGCTGATAAATATATTTGAGTTATTAAATATTGTTTTCTTTTCTATATTATACACATTTTTTTTTTGCTCTCCACCCAAAATATCGTAGAATATGTCCGAACAAATATTCTGTTAAAAGCGGAGCTCATAATTTCAATTTTAAGAGGTCCTTTATCGAATCTGAAGTTTTGCCGCTTAAATAACACAGAAAACTGACTTTTTTACCTTATTTATTCTTGCAACCTGGGAAGATTTTTTTTTTCATAAAATCCATGACTAATTCTTACAAAGCATTAAATTTAGGCAAAAAAATCTTATTAAGCCGAATTTCTATTTTCATTATTTGATTTATAACAGCGGTTTAAATTTTAAATTTTGCCTTTTTCAGCCAAACTATTGAAGTTAGACGAAAAAGTCAAATGGCAATTTTTTAGCTTCTCTGATGGACCACAAAAAAGTTTTAGGCGAATTTTTTTATCGTCAATATTCTAAAAGTTACAGGCGTATAAAGTCATCATTTTTGTATTATTAACTTTTTGTTAGTGAAATATTAATGTTAGCACAAAAAGTCAATAGAGAATTATAAAAAAATTAAATTTTTGGAAAAATTGTCCTAGTAAAATTTAATGTACTGTCAACCATTAAAATTTACAGACTTATTTAAGCTTATTTCGATGGTTTTTTACGTAAATCAGATAAACAATTGACAATAGTGTGATGGTCACGGCCTGGGGTACCCCAAACTCATGAAAACGGCAGTAACCCAAGGAGATTTTAAGAATCTCGCGAATTCAAACATAACCTCAACAACTTCGCAATGTTGTCAAGCGTGGCCAAAAACGGTGTGATCATCTAGTCTAGTCGGAAAGGTACCTACGTTGTGTTATTTGAATTCGCTTCTAGATAGGAAGGATGCCAGAGAGAGGAAATTAGATTACCTAAGTAATAAAAACACACAAATAATGGTTGTCAGCTTTATATTCATTGTATTTGAATATTAGTTTTAACAATAGGTTTTATCAAACGTTTTGAGATTATTAGTTTCAGTTAGCTTTTTGTCAATTTAGGGGATTTAGATTTACTAGTTTAATACAGTAGATTTATAGAAATATATATATTTCCAAGTTTATAGATTAAAGGGTTTTATTTCCAAGGTTTAATAAATGCAGATTCTTAAGTATTTCCAAGCCAAATGTAATATCAACTAAATTTATAATAATGATCATCAGTAACAATATATCAGCTCATTTTGTATAAACAGTCGAAACAGAGATATAATTCAATTTTATACAGCAAAACCTTCATTCTTATTAATCCCATTACATGGCGCAATAAATAGAGAAACAGTAATAATATACAATATAGTAATCATAGAAAATATAGTAAGAATAATAATAATAATAATAGAGCAGATAATAATGTCAACGTAATAATCAAAATAAGGCATATAGTAATAATAATATGTATGTAATATTAAAAATAAGGAATATTAAGGTTTAATTTATTTAATATAATGATATCGACTTATGATACAAAATAGATGAATTATAACGTCTCCTGAACTAGATAAATAAACCTTAGGAATCCACATTAAAATAATAAACTTGGTCAAAGCTTTACAACCATTTTAAATAATTAATTAAATTGATTAATATAATATTTATATCATACCTTGTATGTTTATATTCACAAATACCTACAATTTTATTGTTGGAAAAAATCATCAATATCTCTCTTTTTCAAAATCATTCGCCTACTACCATCAACAACCTTGTTACTCTAGGAGACCATTTTTTATCACCAACTTTACTTTTAATACTGGTTTGGTAATATCCCAAACTTGCTGTACTCAAACTAACAATCTTTCACGCTAAGACTCGATATAATTTAAATAAACTTTTAAACGTTTTTAACACAGCTGACTGATTGAAATTAATTTGTCAATGTCATCTCATTCTGTCAATATGACTTTAACTAAGTGCGTATAGTTGGTTGTCACCTTCTTCCTTACGAGTATCAAAAGTCGGTCCAACACAATAGATACAACATTTTATAAGAATTTCATGTCTTATTCCATTGTTTACAGTGAATTATCGCTTAAAATACTAATAATAATATCTTACTAACTATAGTTAATATATTATCGTACAAAAAATTCTTAATCTGTAATTATTACATTAATATTCATTATATTATTCATATTCAGTACATTATTTCATTTATTTCGAGCTTGATAGGTACACATATTGTAAAACACGGTTTACTTATAATAACTTTGTTGATATTTAAATTTAAATTTGAATTTCCCAAAGAATTTACTAACAGCGCCCTTGCAGTATTATTGTTTTCTTTTGATATCGGTAAATTTGCCGTTCGATAAAATCAATTAGTGAGCTCTATTGTCTTCTGCTGTAATTAGTACTTAATTAAGGTTAGTTTTTTATACGTAATTAATACTACAACTATCATAAAACTTGTTCACTGTTAAACAATGTCGAATAAAACAAGTCAACGAAAGTTTATGAACTTGGTAGATTTTGAAATAAAAACCTTAAGCAATTTGAAGTTACCTTCAAATCGTGATGTTTTGTGTTTGTTTTATTATAAACATCGCACCGAAAACTTTATTATCCGTAATAGTGCAAAAATTGTTTTGAGTAAGGTTATAAAAGTGTGGAGTAAATTTAGCTTGCCTACAAATAACTCACATCGTTCAATTTTAAAAATTGAAAATTTATACAAAAATTGGCAGAAAGTCCAGGTAAATAAATCTCGAAAGAAATCTCCAGCACAAAAATGGCTTGAACTTTTTTGTGGTCCATCAGACAAGATAAAAAATTGCTTTTTCGTCTAACTTCAATAGTTTAGCTAAAAAAGGCAAAAAACGTAAAATTTTAAATTTAAAGCTCTGTAAAAAATCAAATAATGAAAATAGAAATTGGGCTTAATAAGATTTTCTCGTCCAAATTTAATGCTTTGTAAGATTTGGTTATGGATTTTATGAAAAAAAAATAAGGTAAAAAAGTAAGTTTTCTGTGCTATTTAAGCGGCAAAACTTTCGATGAAGGACCTCTTAAAATTGAAATTATGAGCTCCGCTTTTAACAGGATATTTGTTCGGACATATTCAACGATATTTTGAGTGGAGAGCAAGAAAAAAAATATCGAGTTTTTTTGGCACACCCTAATATATACAGTGTATTTTTTGAATGTGTGTGATTGCGTCATCAATTGCGTCGTATGAATTAAACCGAAACTAAATTTAGAGTCAGTAGCGTATCATTTTGAAGGGGTCTAAGCATTTATTGTGGGTGTATTTTTGGTTGCCTAATGTCGCCTCATAGTTACGCAACTCAAAATACATACAATTAAACAATAATTTTAATGATAGTTATTTTAACTTTATTAATGTAAATTATGCAAGTTTTATAAACGAATAACAATAAACATACACAATTTTTGTACATAATATTATGTACATACATATAATATATTATAAGTTAATTAAGACAAAACATTAATTATTAAAATAAAATGTTATAGGAGAACGAAAACAAAATTACTAAAAGTCATCCTCGTCGGAACTGTCTTCTCCGAGGTGGATAACTAGTTCTGGCACGTCATCGACCATCCTTGTCTTTTGGAACCAATCGTCAATTAATTTGTTGGTGTGCCTCACTACTGAACACCAACGTTCTGGCGTGCATGGGTTCAGTGCTTGGCCCCACATTGTTAGCACTTTATTGTCGCCATACCCGTCTTCCCCCATATGGGAATCAATATGTTTTAGCCTAAAACAGAATTCGTTGTTGCAAGCGCCCATCTAATTGTTTATGTATTTACCTGCGCCCATATAAGTTCAATGGCATTAAACTGGCAGTGATATGGAGGCAGACGCAAAACCTTATGCCCATGCTGCTGGAGGTACTCATCAACTTTTTAACGCTTAGGCGGTGTGTGGTAGCGTGCCAGAAACAGCAATTCCGCTTTAAATATACCTTTGATAAACTGAATATTATGTTCTGTTAGCCACTCTTCTATAGGGTGACGCGTGCCAGAAACAGCAATTCCGCTTTAAATATACCTTTGATAAACTGAATATTATGTTCTGTTAGCCACTCTTCTATTTGCTGTTTTTTCCAAGCACTTGTAGGGTGACGCTCAACAACGACGCTGTGGTAAGGAGCGTTGTCCATCACAATCAGTGAAGGTTCCTTTGACCCTAAAGTAAACATGCTCAGTAGAAACAAGCCTAACATAGCTTACCTCTTGGACACAGTTTAGTGGGAGCAGGGGTTCCCCATGCTCCAGTTCCCTTTGAAAATATTGCACTAAATTAATAAAAAAACGTTTCTGATTATCGTCCAAACGTTTGCAAGACATTTTTTAAAACCTGTCAAACTTCCAAATTCTGTTCTTTAATGCCAAATTACTGTATGAACGCCACTGACTAACCTTCAAATTTTGATAAATTTCGGCTCAATGCCACAACAAACTATACGCGCTCTGTCCTTCTTCAGAACAAGCCGCGTGAGCGCGACATCGGATTGACGTAAATTACGTTTAATTGTGTCGCCATCTGCTGTTTTAGCGGATCCCGATACGTTTTAGAATTTCGGTTGAACTTTTACAAAGAAAAAAAAAGACAGCTACACATTTTAATGTCTTTGTTTGGTTCAGCAATTGATGACGCAATCACACACATTCAAAAAATACATATAATATAATATAATATAATATATATATATACATAAGGTTGATTTCGTATTTTAGAGTTTAAAAAAATAATAAAGTTCTTTTTTAATATGCCTTATTGTATTTAATGCCTTATTCTTAATAAATTAACAACTAAAAAAAATTAAAAATATGAAAATCCAAAAATAAATTGTAAATGTATTATTATTACCTCAAATAAAATGTCCCGCTTTCGATTTTCAGAAATCTGTCAACCCTACCTATATCTCAAAAACTAGTAGTAGTAGAATTTGGGTATGCGTTTTTGAATACGCTAAGGAAAATTAAATAAAAATAAAAAAACACACTTTTGCAAAAATCCGATGCTATGAACGCATCGCAGTGTGAGTTGACCTTAATGGTATTGTTGAAAGTCTGTCAATGACATATCAGTTTTTTGGATAACCTAAAAAGTTATGGTGCAGAGTACGAGTCATAGTCATAGATGACCGAAGGTACGAGTAGAGTAACATTGACAAATTAATGTGTATTACCTAATTGAATTTAGAAATATGAATAAACGACGGGAAAATCCTCGATTGACCAGTAGCAGTAGCAGTAGTACCTAGTAGTGACAGCGATATAGACAAAAGCCTAACTAGTTGAAAGAAAACTGGTAGCGAACGGAACGGAATTAAATCTTGATGAGTCTAGTAGGGTTCCTACTGTAGGGAGCCAAGTAAGAAAAAATCTAAAAGATTGTCTAAGTATAAGGTAGAATGGGAGAGGCAATATGTTTGGTAAGGTTCTGTAAAAGAAAATGCAAGTCTGGCACGTTGCAAGACTTGTAATAAAACTTTTTCAATTTCTAATCAGGGAACTACGCAAATAAAGCAGCATGCAAATACCTCTTCACATATTATAGCCACTAATTCTACAAATAAAAATGAGGTTCTCAACAAATTCTATGCTAATAAAAATTCGCCCGAGTCTGATAAAATTACAGTCATTGAACTAACCGCAGTTTTTCATACTATCAAGCACAATATTTCTTATAACAGTATGGATTGTCTTATAAAACTGGAAAAAGTTATGTATAATGACTCCAAACAGTGCCAAAAGATATGCTTATGAAGAACAAAAGTCGAAATCTTAGCAACACAAGAGTTGGCGCCAAAATCGTTGAGTGACACTATAAACTTTATTCGTGATAATTCAATTTTTTACGGGATTCAGACGGATTCATCTAATAAAAAAACAGGAAAATGTTTCCTTTGACTGTGCAATATTACACAAAAGAACATGGTATTGTCAATAAGTTAGTTGATTTCTATGAAAATCCGGATGAATCTGCGGATGGTATGTTCAATGCTATCAAATTATCTCTAGAAAAACTAGCGTTGCCCATTGATCAAATAACATCTTTGAGCGCAGATAATACAAATGCAAACTTTGGCGCAAATCATTCATTATATACAAACTTGAAAAAAGTCATAACTGTCATGCGCACATAGTGCATAATACAGTTCGCCATTCGATAGAAGAACTTATAGTCGATATCGGAAACGTTATTTTAAAAGATTATGCCCACACGTCAGTTTTGGACAAAAAAAAGAGTAGCTCTTAAAGAATTTTTTGATGTAGAAGAAATTTTGCGCCATGTTTCTACCCGCTGGCTATCGCTGAATCCTGCTATTGAACGGATTTTGCGCATTTGGTCACCTTTAGTTAAATATTTCAAAAGCTTAAATCCCTGTCCACAACAAATAACTAAGCTTTTCTTTGAAATCACAGATTTTATAAATGTTACAGATGTTGTAGAAATATATCTTTTATTTTGCAATCATATTCTTTCTATATTTGAGGAATGTATAAAAAATTAGAGGGTAGCAAAGTAGATTTACGACAAAAAATAATCACAAGAAAACAAAAACAATTCTATGGTATAGTTCTTAAAACAAATATCCTTAGTTTATCAAATCGTGACCTTGGAATGACAAGGTTCTAAGTGCAGCTGCCCCGTTAATGACGAAAAACAAAAAGTTGTAAAGAATTTTGACTTATTTTATAAAAAAGCTTTGAATTACTTAGAAAAATGGTTTAACTACTAAGATACGAATATTTTAAATACTCTTAGCTCATTATCATTAAAAGAGTTTCCACAAATCAATCACATGGTAGAAATTCTTAATGTTGTTCCAATAAAAAACATTAAAAATGAAGAAATATTTGATGAACTAGTGTTGTTAGAGGTTACATATAACTCTTTAATTACATCGCCAGATTTTTTAAATATGGCTGTGCACGAAAAGTGGTCTGCAATATTCGGGAAAGCTGAAAAGAAAGCCATTAATATGTATAAAATTTAAATCACACCTTTTAAGTTTACCTGCTTCATCAGCATTTGTAGAAAGGATTTTCTCATTAATGGGAAATAAATGGACTGATGCGAGAAATAGAGCTTCCGTTGAGTTAATAAAAGCAGAACTTATTATTTCCTCCAATTTTAATTTATCCTGTGAGGATTTTTTTAAATTTATTAAGAATGACCAAAAATGTTTAGAAGCTGCCCAAATCCAGAAGAAATATTACTGGAAGATTTAATATATTATTATATGTCGTCGCTGTAGAAGTCAAGTGAGATAAGCCACAAATTTTGCAAAATAGAGTATACAAAAGCATTTTAAAACCATTAAAATGTAGTGGTCAATTAATTTGGGCCACAAAATTCTCTAATTAAAACGTTACGTTAAAGCATTTTGAGGGTCAAATTCGTTGACCACGATATTTGAATGTTTTAAAATGGTTTTTTGTTCTCAACTCTATTTCGCCAACTGTGTTATTTAACTCGCTTGATTTCCACAGCGACGATATTATACGGGTGTCCAGAAAAAGCCCCACCTACGCCATACCACACTCTAGAGTGTTTATTTTAATTATAAAAAACTACTTTTTTTCGACGAGTAGTTTTCGATTTATTAGGCATTTAAGTTTAAAAAACTCGACAACTGTTTTCGTAAGCCCATTTATGAGACATATAAAGGTGGTTATGGAAACAAAATTAATGCATTTACAGAGAGCTGAAATAATTTTTGAAGCAAACATTTTTCAATCGTCAATTATCGACGATTGAAAAGTGTATTTTCTGATGTTTGCTTCAAAAAATGTATACTAACTTTGTTAGGGTAGGGGTCTATTCCGTAACTTTTTAATTATAAATAAGCCTTGGTTATAATATTTTGGTTGGTTAAAATATAGTTTTCGCAAGGGTTTTTTTTGTTTTTATAGAATTATATTTTAAATTAAGCACATATTTTAATACAATTCTAGAATACGATTTGGAGTTAAAATTTCATCGATTTAGTCGCCGCGGCTAATGTTTTCCGTTCCGATAAACCGATTTTTGACATTTGAAATTAATGACGCCAACGGAAAACATTCGCCGCGGCGACTATATTTATAAATAATGTAATGGTTCAGTATAAGACGATCACGAGCCATAGTCACAAAATAGTTCATTTATTAATTTTTTATAAAACTTGTTTTAACGAACCTGGTGTAAGGAGAAATCTTTACATTTTTGGTGCCGTAGTAACCCAGGATACATTGCAAAAGGAATCACTTTGTGGAGAACTAGGTTTATTACAGCACCCGATTGTCTCTAGGGTTTATGTCTAGGGGCTAGGGATTTCCGGCGCTGTACTTTGTTTATAAAATTCTAATCCATTTGATATTTTTTCGGTAAAACTTATGAGGGAAAGCCTATGCAACAATTTAAGGAAAACTGACGAGGAAAGCAAAACCAAAACCTTTAACAAAAGTTAAGGATATTCAAGAAGAAGGGCAAAAGTTGATTGTAAAACAAAAAAAACTCCTTTAAAGAATGGAGCTGTACAGGATAAAAAAATAAAAACAATGCAGCATCGAAAACCTAAGGTTTAACTTGGTGGAAAACAGGAAATGGGTGACCAAATATAAATATAAAAATGAGATAAAATAATTTTTCTTTCAGCGATTAATTTTTTCATTTTGTTTAAAGAATAGGGGCGAAATATACTGAGTGTTGTTTAAGATGTGGCCCAAACTCGGTTACCTGTAAATGGGACATATGTCGGTGCCACACATACACCCGGGATTCGCCAAATTAGTGAGAGGAACCGGTTTCGATGCCATGGTAACCCCCCCTCGCGGGTGCCACAGTGGGTAAAACAAGAAACAGTTGAATGTGACTGAAGCTCCTTTGCAGTCAATTATTTGG